CACAAATGGAGATTTTGAAGGGCATTTGTAGTATAAAATAAGGGCATTAACTCCACATACATGAGAAATATAAGATAAGAGCTAAGCTAGTGCCCAGGCCATGAATCATAGTCAGAGTTATTATCGGCCAATCAGTGTGCATGTGTATGTGTGTGTCGCCGGGTAAAAAATGGCTGAAAGCGCCCCATCAGACTTATCAGAGGTTTTATCATTGAGGGAGTGGGGCTTAATAGCTTCCCTAATGTGTGATGTATGACTAAACGTGGGCGCAAAGCAGTGACAAAAGATCAGGATAACATCTTAACATTAGCAGGTGCAGAATTACTCTGCCAAACAGATTGTGCTGCACTTGAGCGGGCATTACTTTCTCTCCCTTCAAACAGGCCTATTATGTTGTGTTCATTATCAGATAATCAGAGAGTCACTCAGAGCATCATGATTGTACCTTTGAATCTACCTGTAAATTTAATATTGATTCTGACTTGTGCAAAAGGAGAAGCCAACTAACTAATGAACAAAAACAGGAGGTCTGAGTCAACCAAATAAGTGTCACTGAAATGAGAAGTCAGTGACTGAAATGGATATTCCAAATGGGAAGTGAGCATGGGCGCAAAGTGGTTCCTTCAAGTTCAGGCTCTAATTCACAATCAATTGAAAAACACAGGCCCGTCTGTCTATAACCACTTCTCATTTTGGTCTTAAAATGTTCGTATTAACCCGCTGTAAATGATTTCACTATTATGTCCCTACATCAATATATGAACATTAATAACAGTCCAACCACAAGTCTTCTTTTCCCAAGGTTGCTCCTGCCAGTTTGATTGACAGCGCTGCTAAATTCCCACCCCCTGCCAAACCAGTGGTGAACTGGAAAGGGGCATTAGCTTCATCACAGTCTCTCGTGAATGGCTGTTGGTCATGTCGTGCTTGGATTCTCAAGTGATGTCCGTAGTTGCCAATTTGCCGCTTTAACTACCAGCCTCACTGAGCTTCATTTGGCTGTAGCCTTAGTCCACTTCTATTATCCATCGCTGTTACTATGTTTACTAATCAGAATGTATCAATATTGGTACTGGTATCAAATCTGAAATCTCCTGTGAAATTTAGGACTCTAGGACATATCACTTCAGCATTTGTCCAATCAATTCATGTATAAGGATGTAACAATAACTGAAATATTGTGATATCGTATCGTCAAAGTTCTCACAATAATATCATGGACCATCACAATATATTGAATTACAAGTCTCTTTGCTTAAATTAAGAATTGTGGTGCAGCAATAGCTAAAAATAGACAAAGGGAACTACATAGACCATGATCCTTTGCTCCATTTCAGTGTAGACTATAATAGTTCTAAGCACTTTTAAGCATTTTAAGAGGAAAAACTGACATATTCACAGTTTTGTTAGCCTCCACAAAATATCACAATAAATATCATACCGTGAGATCTATATATGTGAAAATATTATACCGAGAGATTTGGATATTGTTACATCGATATCGCAATAAATATTGTACTGTGAGGTTCATACTGTGATGATATCGTATCGTGAGACTAATGTTGACATGTGTATACATTTTTACACAGTAATATTCACTAGTTACTAGTAAAAACAGTGTTTGAAATCATACTGTTATTTGATAACATTGTGTTTGGTTCAGTTAGGTGAAAGGTTACTCTTTCGCTCATTATAGTTTTATTTTGTAACAGATGGCAAAATCAGGTTACGGCAGATAAAAAGTAGGTTAGAGAATATGAAAACAGCATGGCCATAAAGCTAAGGTCATTCCCATCTACATTCATGCTCCCGAGTTTAAAATGCAAGCCTAGCAATATACTCTGCCCTTCAATGAATGGCCCAGTCATAAAAGTCACAGTAAAAGTGTGCTGTTCCTTCTTTAAATCACCAGATGTAGCGTGTGAAGCAGGGCACAGAGGTGGAGTTAGCCCAGTGATGGAGCAGACAGACTGTGCAGTATATGTGATGGAGGCATATGGACTGTAGAGGCAAAAGTTACAGCATTTGTAAAACCGGGCCCTTCCTTGCACCGCTGCTCATCCCCCAGGAAACTTTTAATCCTCTACATTAATGCAGCCCAGGTAGAGTAGATAAGGAGACAGGCTCGTGTGGGTGGGGAGAGGAGCGTGGGGTTGTGTATATGTTGGTCTATCCATGAAAGGGAGGAGGAATGCAGGGGCCAGGCAAAACATTATGACTACCTGCTGTATACAAACACTTCTTAAAGGCCCTATATTACGCACAATTTACTGTTGTGAGCTTTAAGCCACGTTAAAATGTTGTTACCTCCTCAAAACAAACCTGGAGTTGTGTTTTGTTTCATTCTCACATGTTTGAGCAAAGGCTGGTTTATAGTCCAGAGAGCCGATGTCCTGACGCAGACCTGAACCATAAGAGCTTTGGAGCTAATCAGGGAGTGTCGTGGGAATCCAGTTTGCATTAATTATTTGTTATTTGTGTACTGTGGCTGTAACCAATCGCATCAGGCTCATATGCAGACATTTCTGTGCCAACCCTTAGCTGCTTTGAGCTGTTTATAATCAGTTGTCTGTATAGTCTTTGTGGATCAACCAATCAGAGCAACTGCATTCAGAGTCAACTTTTTGGCCGAGGTGGACGTCCACAGCATGGCAAACACCGCAAGCTCTCTGATTGGGTTTCATGTGCGTTGGAAAACTGGACAGCACATCTGTGTAGATTTGACATCGGACCATAAACCAGTCTTAACCCATGAAGCGGTTTTCACGTTAACAGCAACTTTTTACCTTTTGTTCAGGGGAGTTTGGAAATTCCCTGGCTGAAATTATCCATATGATTCTAGTGAAGGTGTATGGAGTTTAAAAACACAGTAAAGCACTTCTTGTATTACCACATGACATCACAAGGTGGAACAGATTTTTTTCTGTTTGAGAGAAAAACTCTAAACCTAAATATGCAAGTTTGTGCGTTAAACATGTGTGAATGAAACAAGACACAACTCCAAATATGCTTTTGATGAGAAAACAATATTATAACATGGATCAGAAAATAAGGTAATAGGGACCCTTTTTACACTTTTTAAACACAATTTTCACATAAAATCGTCCAAAAATCAATAAATTAATAATAATAAAAAAACAACACATTACAATATTTGGTCCAAGAGAGCAGGACAAGACAAGATTTTGAAATTATTTTAAATTAAAAATGTGCTGTTTAGTTTACAAGTTTGGCCTCATTCTGTATTTTTTTGAATTTATTCTAGTTTATAATTTTGCTGTAATTGTAGAACTGCTTTTTTGGAACTGAAGCTTGTATAGAGGTGGAACAAGAGTAAAAAACACAGGGGCAAAAATCTGGCATGTGTGGACAATCTACATCCCACTACCAGATATGTGAAATCTTTTGGGGGAAAAATTTTTTTTTATTCTCCCTCCCTTCATTCACCTTCCAGTTTAGTTACTAGCTTATACATGGGTGAGAAAAGCACCGTTTCTATGGTAACTAACAACTCAAAAGTAAATCTTATATTTTTTGAATGGGCAAAGTCCATAAAATATTACTTAGAAATAGGAAGCTGAAACCTATGAATAAGTTATTTTGGTTTTCTCATTGCTGTGTCCTATTTCTACAAAATACTATTCTTTAAAGTTCCACACTGTACTATAACTTGTGTAAATATTTAAATACATGTTTACTTATTGCCATTTTCACCTTAGGATGGTATATTATCTTGTAGCTCTAACATTTATTCCGGGATACATGGGAAACACTTGTACAGAAAACAAATGCATTGTGGGGTCGGCCTTAGGGTCAGAGTGAATAGCAGCACTATTTCATCAGGACTAACTCTCCCCCTCCACCGCTCCTCCCTCCCTCCTTCTCCTCACTCTCTCTCTCTTCCTCTCTCTTGTCCTCACTGTAATATCCCTCTATTCCTCTTGGCAACACCTCACTGATTAAAAAAAAGAAGTTGACCCTGTGTAAACCCTAGTGTGATCCATCTGACCCAAACAGGGAACAAGTCTCCCCCTGGAAAAGACAGCAGGCAGGATGCTGTTATTGCTTTGAATCATTTAGAACCCAGGAATACACATTATGAAATAAATTATGAAGTAAATATTCAAGTTAGGTCAGATGTGGAAGAACTACTCATAAATACTAAGTTTAACTGCAACATTGTTTTACTATTGCTTTTATATTCACTATAAGAAGTAAAATTCATTCACAGGTTTCACACCAGTCCAGTACTACAATATTGTCCATTTATTGCAAAGCTTGTTCTGGTGATACGTGAAATTGACAGGACAGAAATGAACCTTTATAGCTTTAGAATGCTCATGAGCTGTATCAGAACATGTATAAGACCACATAGACCAGTGTTTGTTCTTTTTTTCAAGGGACCCATATCCTTAGAAAATCTTTACAACCCAAGTCAATAGACGTAAATCACAAAATAAAGGTGGATTTGACCATTATGGAACATTAATGAGGATATTTTATTGTTGACTGAGTGATCGTGTCTCTTTGAACAATTAGAATTACTCAAGTTTTAAACAAAAACACTAGTCAGCGTTTCACTCAGTGCATTGAGAAACAGTGAGGAGGGTGTGTGTGTGTGGAGATGTATATGTATATGTATATATGTCTTTGAGAAACACTGACACAGACTACACCTATGTGCTACTCTTGAACATACCTGCACATTTACACAGAGATTACACAGATCGTAATGGTAATATAAAAGAGATGGTAAATTACTACGATTTAATGTAGAAAATCACATTCTATTAAGTTTGCATTGAGTTAGAGTTTGTTTTTATTACCATTATAGTATCAGTATTGGAATCAGTATTGAGTATCAAGAACATTCCTTGGTATCGAAATCGAGTTTGAAATTTTTGTATTGTGACAATACTATATAACTCTATATATTTACACAAAGTTGTTGCTACATTATCATTATTATAAGTGAATAATAAATATGAGCCATGGCTTACCTTGGACCTAGGCGGCGCTCGGATGTACCATTTACAGTCCACAGCCTCAGTGGCACCAGCCTTCCCATCTCTGGTGATCTGATGTGACTCCACTATCCCCTCTGGTCCCACCATATCATACTGACACGCTGCAAAACACACATATAACACACACACATAACACACATAACACACATAACACACATGCACAAACACAAACACACACAACCAACCAACCATAAACACAAAACATGTGTTCAAATCCCCAAACAGGAAGAGAGAGAAAGAGAGGAGGAGAGACAGAATGATAGATAGAGAAGTATACCTACAGGGCAGAGGTGGTGGGACGCCCAGGTCAGAGAAGTCTGGATCTGAAACACACAAGAACACAATATTTATTTTTAACTCACAAATCACACTCAGAAGGCAGTGTAGCGGTTAATTTGTGGAGTAAGTATTTCTATCATAGAGCTGGGAGTTTAGTGGTGGTATTTTATAATTATCTATACATTTGTAGGACTTTGAATAACTGCAATTTGCTTCAAAAGTACACTGTAACAGGTAACAGTGGGACATTACCAAAACATCTATTTCTTCAGGCATTTTGTATGGCTTTGTCTTGATATTGACTAAAAAAATCTAACATAAACCCACCCCAAGAAAATTATTTTTCTCTGAACTTGCTCAAAGTAAGGGTTTAAGCATGTATTTTGTTTAACATTGCTGTAAATTACATCAACAGAGCCAGTCTCTGTGAGGCGTGTTACCACTCTCTTGCTTGTGAGTCATTACAAGGCTTTGTGTGTCTCCACGGATTCAGTACAATGGCTCAGATGACTTCAAACTCATAATCGGTTTGTTTGTGTGATTGGGTAGGTAGGTCAAAATAACAGAGCAGATTTCAGATACAAGACAAAAGTCTATAGCTATTCTGTTAAAGATAATTGCAGAGAAACACAAAAGTTACCTCAACTTAATTCTAAAGTAAAATAAATCAATTGTGGTTCCAGTAAGTGGATAAGCAAGACACAGCAAAATAAGTAGAGCATTCAAACTGTTGTCCCATTCCCTGCAGTATTGATATTTAAAGGTACAGTATGTAACTTTCTGGAGACAGAAATCACCTGTCACATCACATGATTCCATAGAAGTTAAAACCATACTTCAAAACATTCTCCATGGAGACTTTTGCTGCTTTAAAGATGCATTAAAGCTTTTGAGGAGGATACACCACCTGCTTGTGATATCTTGAGGTGTTATTGTTTTGCCAGGAGGACCACAGTATGGCATTAAATATATGAGCTCTGTAGAGACGTGGCCTCCCTTACAAGAGGAATGTGTTTTTCAAGGAATTGTTTTAGTAATAAAAAGCATATATCTGGCATTTATTCCGTTACAGGCAAAGGGGAAGTACTATGCAAATTTAACACTGGACAAGGAGGGGGGCTCAGCGCGTTAACGAAAATGAACAACCAACTAACAAAACATATTCATACTGTATGTTGTTTTCAGCAAAACAATAAAAGGTAAAATAGTGACCTAAATATGTTATGTGTTAGCAATTAATACCCTATTGAAGTAAAATACCCCTCTTTAATACTATAGAAAAATTCAGACAAATTCAGACAAAGCTACTGGAAATACGCAGATGGAAGACGCCAGAAACTTCACGTAATGCAACTTTTTTCCCCAAAAGTTCCTATAATAGACTTGAGTAATACAGGAATACATTGAAGCCAGATCTGTGTCTTCAATGGCAAGAACTAGATTCAGAAAAATATAGTTGTTCATCAAATACGTAAACAGGATTAGAAATGCAAATGTTAAAAATAGCTTGGTGTGTTATTTTGGAATGCTCTTAAATCCAGCAAACCATCTAACTAAAACCAGATGGGTAACATTATGGGCCTGAGTACAATAAAGCAGCTCCCATTTTATTCCTAAGGCGCAGTAAGAGATCCACTTTGAGTTGTAAGCCCCTGTTTTTAAGGAGACATCTTGTAGAGGAAAGGGTCCCACATTAGGGTGATTGTGGGTTGTTGAATGGAGCCTCAGACCTCTGACTGAGCTCAGTGAGAAAAAAACAGGTCTGATTGCACAGCAGGAACGCTTCTAAATGTCACACTCTTCTGTCTGCAGATGGCCCATTTTAATGTCTGGACTTAGCCTGCAGATAGAGCAAAACACATAACACCACTTGAATAAAAGTACAGTAATACTAAAAGAACACAGCACCAATATTGAACTGGACAGGACAAGGCCGTTTTATTCCAATATGTTTACTGGTCATGTAAATCTGAATTCAAGAGATTACCCTTAATGATATTTAACTTCTATGTTGGAAATTCGATTCGATTTTATTGTCATTGTACAAAAAATCCAGACATGATGAGAATTCTAAACATAAATTAAGATGAAATACTATGAAGTACACTGAACATTTTATCTAAATGCAGCAATTGAATTTTGCCGTTTTCTGACTGGGTAGGTTCCAGGTGCTTTCTAGAACAAAATAAATCACCACTGACATTGACTTTGTGTAAAAAAGAGGAGGTTGTTTATTACTTAATTGGAAACCTCACTGCAATGAAGGAGAACAAAGTGAAAGTGAAGAGTAAGTATTGGAGGAGGTGCTTACAGAGCACCACACAGATCCCCTTAAGATTCACTACTGATTAACTACTGCTTTCTCTGGCTCCAACAACTCAATCTGTAAAGTGGTGTGTGGGGAGGATTGAGTAATTCAGAAATACAAACAGCCTTGGCCTTGAACAGCTACAGAAGTAACTACAGAGAAGACTTACACTCAAGAACATACTGTTTAGAGCATTGAACATCATTAGGTGGTCTGGAGGATATATTCAGTGCAGTGAGCCTAACTTGTTTTGTTCCTAAACAAATTCCAAGAGTCAGTACAGTCAAAAGTCATTATTTGATTATGCAGAAAGATCAACAGAGCATGTGGTTTAAAATAATAACATACAATTCCAAGTTAAGTTAGGATCGTGAATCGTGAATGAGAGTCAGGTTAAACAGTCATCTAAACAAACTGTAGAGAACACCCACATGACACAAGCTCATATAACAAATGAGAAAATGTCTGAAGTAAAACTGCCACATTACCTGCAGGACTACTGCATCCTAGAGATGCTCGGTGAAGGGGTTTTTGGACAAGGGCTGCACTGTCTCAAACCCACAAATTCCTCAAGAAGGAGGGACAATATTCCCTGCAGAGAGAGCTCACAATCCTCCACCACGTCCAACAGCTGGACCCTGATGTTGTCAAATTGATTTATTAACACATTTGAAAGGAATGATAACACATGTACAGTGTTTGAGATGCTGGACTGCAACTTGGAGGACTTCTGGAATCTACTGGAATCTACATCAGAAAAGAACACACACAAATGGTGCCATCGGGACTGAGCAGGCCCACTGGAAGATTTGATCTGGACATACCTGCCACAATTTCCCTGATTTCATGGACAGGATGGGAATTCTGAACCTAGCGAAAAACCTCTTCATTCAATCACTTGAGGACAAACCCAAGTGAGACTATGTAAAATGGGCCAAAGACATTATGGGCCTGGTTCAGAAAACCCTCCAGAGACCCTCACAAGATGTCCAACAATGCCAACCAAGAGGACAAAGAGATGCCTTCAACACCAAACCAATGCAGCTCACTGTATACAGGGTACATATCCAGGCAATCAGTTGAGATTGATGAAGATGGTGTGAGTTTCAATGAGCCACCACCAATCAACCAACAAATATCACAGCCAGAAGAGCTCGAGGAGGAGAAGACCCACCTAGATGCTAGTTGGAAATTAACTACCGGACTGAGGGCATTTTTCTTGAAACCACTTAAGACCCAGGCGTATCTCAGAAGTTTGGGAGATCAAACATGATGACAGAGAAACATAATTTAATCTTCCTGGGGGTCCCGAAGAAACTTTATTAGTCAAATTTAAGTACTGAAGCTTTAAGTTCAGTTAGTAAAAAATCATTGAGTAGCGTACGTGGAGTAGTTATGGAGGAGTTAACCTTGAAACACCTTGACTTCTATATATTACATGCATTTTTTTCTGCTAAATAAGGTCTGTTCCTCCTATAGAAGACAGGCAGCAGACGTCACATGAGCGATGACAAAATCAAAGTGGAAGACACTTAATGAAACAGCGACCTTCAGGTCACATGTGCTGCTCCAATGAGAGATTTATTATTGGGCTTTGGCATCACTTAACCCATTCAATCCCAAGGCTACACATCCTCACAGGACTCCCATACACGCCGTACGCCTCTGATAGATCCAGTCTAGAAATTGCAACAAAGGGCTAGCACGTGGAAGCTGCGAGAAACCCATAAATGTATCATGTATGACCTCTGACCTCTTTTTTACAGAGCTGCTCCTGAATTTCAATCAGCAAGCCCCACTAGTTTCAATCATCCATCACAGCCTCTCCTTCTCTGCCCTTCTAGATAAATCAATATGATCAATTAGACAGATTGATAACATGATTGATGAATCACAAAAGCATGGACCATTTCAGGGGCATGACAACTGAGAATTTATGGATGTCTCAACTTACCCCCAACATCTTCAGAGGTTTAAACAAAACAAAAAAAAACAAAAAAACTTAAATCTAAAATAGCAATACAATTTAAATATTATATGGAATGCAACATAATGGTGTCTATTTGTATGTTGTTAAGAAAATGCCATTTGTTGGGGTTGTGTAACTGTAGAAAATGGGGTGCCTCTTGATATGAACCAAGATTAAGCCAAAGCCTGTTTTATTTAGACAATCCAGGCTGATCAAATCTTCAGTTCTGTTCCACCAACATGGCTAACCTGAGTTGGCACAAAGTTGCACACAGTAACAGGCACACAGGAACCGTTCAGAGCTGGTCGGGACCAGGCTAACTGTCAAGATTATTTTAAAACACAGTTTCAGCCCATTCACTCACACACTTCTGTTAAAAGACTTTTATGACTTTTCAATCACATGTTGCCTGAGCACAGTTGCCAAGTCTGCTGTTTACAGGGCTATTTGGAAAAAAAAATATTGCAGGGGAAAGTCTGTCTCCACAGGTTGGAGTTTTCTTAGGCTGGATTTAAAACATATCGCTTCACTAATTGGGGAATTTCCCGGTGTCAAATGTTGTCCATTACAGCCTTTTCGCTTAGTTTGACAAGGCACAAATCTGTAGTGAGCACCAGACACTGCAGTTTCAACTTTAAAAAAAAATCCCTCTGTGTGCCTCATGTAAGTGCACTGCTCTCTTTGCCATTTCCCTCTCTGCCCTCCATGTGCATAGTGCACATAGACTTGCTCCTCTTTTTTAAAAGCCCAGAAGAAGACCAAGACGA